GGGGAATATTAGATATGATCATTATCTTGATGGTAGTAGTGATGGTATCACAAGGGGCACATGTACAACTCATCAAATTGCCAACATTTAATATGTGTAATTCTTGTATTTTAATCATATCTTATTGGAGCTATTTAAAAATGAAAAAACTAGATAGCCAAATTAATAAGGAAATGAGGAAAAACTGGGAACTTCCATGGCTGAGTAGATATGCAGGAGAGGCTGGGAAGAGGTAGACAAGACTGTGACAATAGTAAGATCCTGTGCTGTCTCCTCAAGCTGCCTGGATGGAATGTAGAGCTTTGTCATTGAAAACTGGATGAAAATAAAAAGCTGTGGAAGTGGTGCTGTGGCTCCAAGAGGTAGAGCACTAGCCTTGAGCAAAAGAGCTCAGGGACAGTGCCCAGGCCCTGAGTTTAAGCCCACAACCCAAAACAAACAAACAAACAAAAAATCCCCACCAAAAAACAAAAAGGAAAATTGGTCTATTTGGGGCTGGGATGTGGCTTAGAGGTAGAGTGCTTGCCTGGCATGCAGGAAGTCCTGGGTTCAATTCCTCAATACCACATAATCAGAAAAGGCCAGAAGTGGTGCTGTGGCTCAAGGGGTAAAGTGCTAGCCTTGAGCAAAAGATGCTCAGGGACCGTGCCCACGCCAAAGGTAAGCCTCAGGATTGGCAAAAAAGAAGTGTATTCTATGTGGAGTATTGGAAATTTTATACAGAATTTCTAGGAAGAAGAGATGACATTAAACACAGAAACTACAATCCCTAAGATTAAAAAATGACCAAAGATTTTTTTTTTTCATCTCTGAAAGGTCATGATTTGGCCCCAACTCCCAATTTCCTTGACTGGCAACAACAAATAACAATAATAACTTTGATTGTATTACATTTAAGGACATTAATTTCATGTTGTTTCACTTGATTTCTTTAAATTCAGAGTAGTTTGCTTCTGTCAAAATAGGTCAGTTCTGTATTTTTCAGAGACTTTCCATACCTGGCATGTAAAGTACATTATTGCTGTTTGTACTGAGAAGCCCAAACCCATGAGTAGCTGTTACCATCAAAACTACTTAACAAAGAAAATCATGGGAGAGTTATTGCTTTAGAGAAAACCTGGGACTACAAGCACGGTGATGGGCCTGTCCTGGGGCTGGCAGGATTAGAGCTTATGGAAGCTTGCCTTCAGACTTCTCTGTAAGAATTCTCTAATCTCTTTGAGAATGACTTACAGACTCTGGGAACACATCCTGCTATTACAGTAGTAGGGTTTGAGGAGCTGTGAAATGCCCTGTCTAAAGACTGGATTGCTGCTGATGAGAAAGGTGTCTTCACACAGCTGGGGAAGGGGTGAACTGAGGACAAATCAAGTAGGCAAAAAAACCCTCTCTCTCCTAAAAAGAAAATGAAGCTAGGGAGAAAATCGAGGGAAGTAGTGTTTGATTGCATCCATTTCGCAGAGAGAAAACAGCAAAACAATTTAATTCTGAATTCTTCAGGAATCTTCCAACTAGGCTATATTTCCAGAAAAAAAATAACTTGCTGATAAAAGTCACGGAGTCTCGGGTAAATCAGGAAAATAAGAAGTCTGAGGAACGGTTGATTATAGCTGACAGCGGAGATGAGAGATTTCTAAAGCCTGGGCATATCCAGGTTGACTAATTACTGATTTTGGAGCCGGGTGGTTTGATTTGTTATATATTTAGAAGATATTTGACAACCATGAGAATTTTAATAAGAAACCTCATGCACGTGCAGCTCCACTGTGGTCCAACTGCTTTAAAGTTTGTTTGGACATATTTGGAAGAGGCAACTATGGCAAAAGTAAATGTTAATTTCCAAATATAAGAAACATTGCCTTTGGAATCATTTTCCTAAAGTTTAGTCATCAAGTATGGTTTCCCCCATCTTTGCTATACCAGAAACTTAATTCTTCTTAGTCACTGAATATTTTTTTTCAAAGGACCACCTTTTATACTTTTATTTTAAAGGAGTCTTTATATAAATTATTTCAATGTTCTAAAGAGAGAAGAAATGTTTAAAAGTAAATACAGTGAAAATACAACCTTCTATTTATGCTGTGTAACTGTTGTAGCTTCTCTGAGACCATTCTTTGCTAAAAAGAACTTTACTTAAACAAAAGGAAAAATAGCAAGTGTTTGGGAATCAAAATCTACTGAGTTCTATACTGAGCAGGTCTTCTTGATCCTATCAGGATTCTCAAAGGATCTGAAGAGGGGCCTAATTTTTCTCATTGTGTAATTAACAATGCTCATTTCTGTTGGGTCCCCAAACCATCTTCAACTCCATCAGCATTTGGGGAAACACTGCTTGAGACCTGAGAAGAAATTTGCTTTAGAAAGCTAACCTAGAATGGCCAGATGGAAACTTGAATAAGCATTTGAGTGGCAGGCATAAACAGCATTAGCCAATGAGAAACGAGACAACCTCCCAAAGAATGGAGTAGGTAGGGGTGGGGATGGGAAGATAGATTCTAGTCAAATGATGTAAGTTTCCATCAAAGAGGTCAACAAGGTCACACAGCATGGAGATTACAGATATCAATAATACATTATACACTTGAAATTTGGTAACAGAGCAACTAAAATATTCCCACAGGAAAATCTTCGAGTACATGGAGGTGATAGATATGTGTTAATATATGTTAATATGTTAATGGATATATGTTAGCTTGACATAACCATTTCTCAGTGTATTTACATAATTCAGATCATCACATTGTTCACAACACACACACACATATATATAGTTTTTATTTGTCAATTCTACATTAATAATTTTTAAAAATGACAGTCTGAAATGGGCAGATCAATAGAGATAGAGTGTAGGTTAATGATTGTTTGGGGGTGACAGGGAATGAGGGATGACAGCTAATGAGAATAGGCTTTCACTTTGAGGGTGATTAAAATGTCCTGAGATTAGAAAGTGTTCAACGTTGGATTGCCTACTTTGAGGCTATCCCAAATGTGGCAATGAAAACATAGCAAGTATTTCTGATTAATGTAAGTATTTGCACCAATCTGTTGGGGATGCTGAGTCAGCAAGATGACCTCTCTTTTTGTCTTCTCAGTAGAGATCCCATGCAGAATTTCCATCCCTCCCTCCTCCTGAAACTCCCCAAAGGCTATGGAATATCTAGATTAATCTTACTCAATATGGATACCACTAGCTGTTTCTTTGTACTGTCTTCTCTCTGGAGTCTAGGGTCCTCTGTCCCAGAGCCTTTTCCCAATATAGCATAGGGCTTAGCAGCACATACTAAAGTTGGATCCTGTCCTTGCATGGGAAGGTTGCATGGGAAGTATCTGATCTGCCTTAGCCTCCTGCCCTAGAAAGTGGGGATAGGCATAATAAACCTCCTGACGGTTCTGGGACTTTGCAATAATATATCATATTATGGTCTTGGTTAGTGTTGATCTATAAAGCTCATTACTATTAATTGGAAAACACTTGTTCTTAGTCTTCAGTTCAATACGCTGAAATTTTTTGCTCTATGCTTCTCTTTGCTAACTTACTTATTGCACATAGGTAGATTTTTTTACTCCAGAAACCATTCCTGTTTCTCAGGTTGGCTTCTAAATTGGTATCTCTGGATCCTTTCTTGCTCATGAATTTCCTTGTCTGGTTTACCAATTTTGACTGGTTATCTTCCTAGGTCCCATAAACACCTCAAATACCACCCATATAAAATGGGATTCATTGTTTCTTTCCCTGACTTTAATCTGTACCTTTCTTCTGTTTTTATTTTTGTAGAGCTAATAGGTATTACACACGATACCAGTCCTGTGCTCTGATGGTACTTTTTAATGAATTTCCCTTGTTTCATTCTCATAGGAATTCTTTTGTGCTATTATTTTTCTGTTCATACAAATGAATATACAGAGAACCAGAGGGGTTAATTAACTTCCCAGGAACACTTAAATAGGAAAAGGACTTGAATTCAGGCCCATCCAACTCCAAAGACCATTCTCCTCATCACTTTGCCTTACTATCTTCAGTCTCTGGTGATTCCCAGAGACTGCCATTTTGAACTCAAAAGATATTCCTTAAGTCTCTTTCCTCCTTTCTGTTTCCCACACCAATTCCTAACATACAGGTTTGAAATTGTTTCTGAGCTCCCACTAACTCTTCCCCAGCCATTCTTCACTGCACATTACCACAAAGGTAACTTTGAACAACCAAATCTGGTGCAGCTTAAGGTGCTGTAAAAATATACATAATTTATCAGATAAAAACCCAACCTCTAGCATGGCACATTGGTTATTTAGCCAATCACCATCCATCTTTGCAAGCCCATTCTCTTCAGGTCCTGCATGTGTTTCTTTGTTATTCGGGAGAACTGGAATATACTTGGTTTTATTAACCATCTGGTTATGTTGAGGAATTGTTTCTTCACGTAACAAACTCTTATTCTATTTTAAAAATAAGTCTAGTACTTTTTGTGCACATGTGCAAACAGACACACAATGGCGTCTTCATAACTTTGTGTCAATGTCACTTTAAAATTTTTGGTGATGTTCTGTATTTGCACAAATTGTTAGTTGTGGGCAAAACTGGATGTATTATTTTGCAAGATCACATGAATTTTAAAATAATTACTGCAAATTAAAATATTAAAAAATTTAATGTAGTACTTGACTTTTTCTACCAGGAACCAGCTTGAGAAAAATAGTAGGCATATAACTACAAACACTATACACTCAAATTATTATGATTATGCTATATGACTCTTACTAATTTGTTCTTTGGGACTGGACACAGAGGGACCTTCTGTATTTGACTTCTAAAAGGAGAGTACAATCTTCCTGACAAAGAGTACAGTATAGGCTTTTGACACAGATAGACCTGGGTCAGTGCTTTATTCTCTCTTATCAAAATGATGATAATCTCTGTGGATTGGAAACTGGTCCAGAACCCTATGCTCAACACTACCCATTTGGAAGTATGCTTCACTACAGGAAGTGAGATTCAAACTCACCATTTTCATTGTGATGATATATATCTGGCCTCCTGACATCTTCCAGCCAGCTTTCCTCATTTGGGGAAGAATTTATATCATCGAAGGTACTTCCATCCAGCCACGATTTAGAGGCTCTGGGGTTGAACAAAGAAGAAAGAGTGTGGCGGATTCTCTTTTTCTTTCGGAATACTCTAGGAAGAAATGGAAGTAGCCTAGTGAACAATAAGTAGCAGAATTGAAACAGAATCTGGTGAGAAGGGCTTGATACATAGATTATTTCTGAAGACCTATCTTTTACTGTTATCCTAAGGAAGGAATACTACCCAGGCAGATGAGTAGTACAAGCCAGAGATACTGCAAATATCCTACAGTGTGCCGAACAATTCTTCACAATATAGAATCCTCCGAGTTGGGTGCCAGAGACATGTAATCCTCTGAGGATCATGGTTTGAAGCTAGTCAAAGCAGAAAGTCTGTGAGATGCTTATCTCAGATTAACCAGCAAAAAGCAGGAAACGGAGCTATGGTTGAACTGGTAGAGCACCAGTTTTCTTTTCTTTAAACATATAAATGATTTAATTAGTCTCTTGATTAGTTTAGAACTATTTTGTAAGGATAAATTCCATTTGTTAGAGCAAAAAGAGAGCGTATGTAGCCTTGGAGTTGAGGTATAGCTTAGATTTGGGGTAGCATTTGTGACTATGGTCTTTTATGCCCCAAATCCACATACTATGGGAAATCCAGAGATATTTCTTCAGAATCTGCTGTGTGCTGGGATGTTGGGTCAATATCAAGGATACTGAGATACTGTTGGAGAATGGCAAGAACAATACAGATATATCTAATGTGTTCCTTACTCTGTGCCAGGTAGCTTTCTCAGTGTGTTACATAGACAAACTCATCTCACCCTTAAAATGGTCGCATGAGATAGGTACTGTTATTACTCATTTTTTATAATTAGTTTATTTTGTGTTTCAATGTAAGAAAGACTTCTTCGGATCTTTAGTATTTTAATTTTAAAATACATCTTGATGTCAACGATTTAATTCTTGCTGTGCGTGTGTTTATTTAAATTTTATTGTCACGATGATGTACAGAGCAGTTGTGGTTACATGAGTAAGGTAGTGAGTATAGTTTTGGTTGAACTTGTTACCCTCTCCCTCATTTTACTCCCCCTTTACCTCCCCTCAACTTCACCCTCCAGTTGTACTGATCATTTTCAACATGGTGTCTTGTGAGTATCGCTGTTGCCTTGGTTCCCCCTTTATCCTTTGTCTCACCATTTTGTTGTTCATTTCTGATGTCAGGAAACCAAGGCCCAAAAGGTTAAGTTACTTGGCTAAGGCCATCCAGAAAGTAAATGACAGAGCTGGTTAGCAGCCCCAGACAATGGAGCTCCATAGCCTCTTGTGCGCTCCATGGCATGTTGGGGACACATGTCCTACAAGTCTTACTAAGAGGCTGATTTGAGAGCACTGGAAAGGCAATGCTAATGGAAAAACAAAGGGGACTTTCTTGGATCTTGGAGCATTCTTGGAGATAAGGCTGGAGAGGTATAAGGGACAGATCATGCTCGCTCCAGTGGCTCAGGCCTGTTACCTCAGAGAATGATTTGAAGTCTCCTGGACAAAAAAAAATGTCCTTATGACTCTGTTTCTAAAATAACCAGCAAAAAATAGGAGTGGAGACATGCCTCAAGTGCTTGGATGGTAGAGCACCAGCCAAGCAAGCCAACAAAGCATGTAAGGCCCTGGGTTCAAAATTAGTACCACCAAAACAGGGGGAGACAGCTCATAAAGTTTAATATTAAAGCAAAATGGAGATGAGGGGAGATGAATGTTGGTGACATGATTTGGTTTGCCGTTCCAAAAGACTTTCAAGCACAAAGGATGACATGGAGGGCCCAGATTGAGGGCAGAGAGGCGAGTCGAGCACAAAACAGAGTAACTTTGTTGGTGCCTGTATGGCCTGTGCGAAGCTCTGTGTTAAACACATTATACTGGTGAGAAACGCAGGGAGTCTGAACTGAAGCCAAGTAATGCAAAGAGGAAATGGGACACTTTTCCCTTTATAACATTCTGCTCTCCTGCGGGGGTGTCCTCAGCTGCTCTCAGAAGATGCATTTTGGATTGGGTTTCCCGCAGTATTGAGATGGATTGCTGTAAACCTTGGGCATTCTTATGCTGATGATTCTCAGCCAAAGTGATTCTGGTCCTTAAGAAATATTTGATTATTTCTGGAGACCTATCTTTTACTGTTATACTAAGGAAGGAATTCTACCCAGGCAGATGAGTAGTACAAGCCAGAGATACTGCAAATATCCTACAGAGTGCCGAACAATTCTTCACAATATAGAATCCTCCGAGCTGGGTGCCAGAGACATGTAATCCTCTGAGGATCATGGTTTGAAGCTAGTCAAAGCAGAAAAATCTGTGAGATGCTTATCTCAGATTAACTAGCAAAAAGGAGGAAACGGAGCTATGGTTGAACTGGTAGAACACCAGCCATGAGCTAAGCAAAAGTTCCAGGTCCTGAGATTAAGCCTTAATACTGGGGCACATAGGTGTGGGAGTGCGTGCGTATGTACACACACACACACACACACACACACACACACACACACACACACAAACATACACTCCCGCGCATCCATCTCTGCATTGCAATCATTTTTAACTTTTAAATATAAATCACATCGTTTTTGCTTGGCTCCTCTTTATCTACAGAATAAAATCCAGTCTCAGTATGATGGTAACCTCCCTCCACCCCATCCTTTCTTATGTGCTCAGCCTTGTTCTTGCAGACTTCCCCTTCCCTTCCCACCCAGGGTCTATCCTTGCCAAGCTTTGTACATTTCCCTAACTATTCCAGGATTCTCAGCACCCTATGTCTGTGCCTTCTCCCCACTTCCCACTTCATTTTATCTAACATAACCCATCTTCTAGGACTCAACTTAATCACCACCATCTCTAGGAAGCTCCTTTACCTCTTTCACAAGTATAGACTTCTCTCTTTTACTCTCTACCATATTTGTATTCTACATATCTATATCTCTGCATCTGGATTGCTTCAGTTCATTTTCATTTTCACCTTAGGTATCCCTGTCCCGGATTCCTTTTTTGATGCCCACAGTCTCAACAAGTAATGAGCTCCTTATAAATGATTATTGAGTGGATGAATGGATGAATGATGGATGGACTTAATTGCTGTTATGCAATTTTCTCTGCTTACCTAACTAAGTTCTCCTTGTACATAACACTGGTCTGAGAGGGGTTCAGGGTGATGTTCCCATCGCTGTCACAGAGGAAGCTGTCCTCTGTCCAGATGTAGTAGCCATTGGTGAGGAGCCTGGGACTCCTGCGGCAGGCATGATGGCAGCCTGTCAAGGGATCTATGGAACAGCATTCGAAAGAACTGTCACCATCCAGGAAGTCACAGGCAAATCTAGAGAGAGAAAAGACAAACGCTGGGGAGAAATTTCAATGGATGCCTGTGGAAAGAATGAGACTGATGACAGAAGATCAAAGAGAAAAATGGGGTGGCAAAACAGACACTCCACTGACAAATTCTAGAATCTACTTGTTGGAGTGGTGCATAAGATGTGGCCACCCAGTGGACTGATGGAATGGTGGCTCTTATAATAAAATGAGATGGGAAAGCATATTTAAAAGAACATCTGAAGGGGCAAAAGTACCCATCCATTGTGTTCAATACAGTTTCTCCACTTAGTAAAGAAATAAGTTACACCTCTCTACACTTAAAATGCAGGCATGTTCCAAAGAAGGGATTTTATTCCTGGATTAAGATTGCATTTTGTTTTGAGATAGAACTGGAGATATATAGGCCCAAAAAATCTGCATGATAGATAAAATGATATTTCTAAGCCAGGACACAATAAGACAGTCAGGAAAGGAATCTGATGGTTGAGAAAAGCTTCACACCTTACCTTGCAAAAAGGCACTCAGGAGACAGCTCTCTATCACATTCACTATCTGACCTGGAAGAATCTGCATTAAAAAATACAAGAGAAAGTTTTACATTTCACCAACAAGTATGACCAAAAGTGTGTGAATAGCTGATGTCCACCCCCAGCAGAGTAGTGAACACATCCAACACATCAGCCTAACACAACTTGTCCTCAAGTCCCTACAGGAAACAAAAAATGATAAAGGAATTTCCCTATTCTGTCTCTTCGTACACCCTACCATCTTCCAGAAGTTCCTTAGTGCAGCATTTGACAATAATTAAATCACTAACCCCAAACAGAGCTTAGGAAAGGAAGAAAACATCACATGTAAAGCTAGGGGAAACTACAATCAATTTCCAATGTGTTGATTATTGCAGCTTATGCAGTAATCTGAGGAGTTCAGTCATTGCCCAGTTTCTTCCAGGTTAATGCTTTTAAACAGACTTCTAATGTAAGGTAGTGAGCAGAAGACATCAGACAACTTAATCTGTAAGATTTTCCAATATATGAAGCCTGTGAGCTATCTTTATTAGAGAGCACCCATTCATCCATTCAAGCTTAGCTACAGATGTAGCCATTGGTCTGGGGAGAGTTTCAGCTGCTTAGTGAACTAAATTCTAGTGCAGCATTTTGAAACGTAAAGCAATGCAAATCAGTAAGTCTTAGAGCTAGGCCCAGTGAAAGTTGATTCCTTCAGGGACAATTACTTCCCAACACAAGCACAGAAATTTACACCTTCAGGATAGAGCTGGTTGGTTTGTCAGGAGAAAATTGTGGGTTTGTGAAAGAGAGTTAGAAGTGGGGTTGAAGGAGAAAATAACAAGAGGAAGGAAGCAGTGAAACCACTACCGTTTTAACAACGCCCTTGTTTTCTGAAAGTAGCTATCAAAATCATTCAGCATTTTTTCTAGACAGTTTTGCATCTTAACTGTAGCTGATAAACAATCTCTTTTCACATTTATGCACAGGCATCTTAAATTTGGTGATTATTTTATTCTACTAAGAAGAAAAAATGCCACATTTCTCTCAAGGAAAGAGATGAAGTCAAAATCATTGCCAACACGCACACTGGCATTTAAGAAGCACAAGCTACTGACAGATGGTTAATGGTCTGAGTATCAGCAAAATCAAAGCAAGGAAATTGCTAAAAAGAAGTCTAATCGTTCCAAAGATAATTACGCATAGCAGTTCTCCTACATTTATTTGCTACTGGGGTCGACATCAGTTGAGAGATTCGGTGCATCTTGGGAAGGCCGTTCGTTCAAACTTCACAGATTTTCTGCAAAAGACATTACAAAAAAAGATGGACTATATAATAAAAATAGAAAAAAGGATGCCAAAACAGATGGCATCTACTAATTGCACTAGTCAGATTTGTTTGCTGAAATAGTATAGGGATGGAGGATTGAAGGCAAGAGACCAGATTGTAAGGCTTCAGTAAGCATGGGTCTGCCTGAAAGACTTGGTATGCTGTGTTCTATTGTATCCCTCAGCTAATCTGATTCATCTTTTCCTGGAAATAAAGTACTTTATTTGGGAAAGCAAGACTCACAAAGGCTGATTTGTCATTCAGACAAAATAGTGTGAGTTACTTAATTCAGAAGTCTGCAAAATGACTGGTTCTAGAGTCTTCTCCACTCTCTCCCCAATACATTTATTTGTATTTAAGTCATCTGACACAAAACAGACTCATTACGTTTATTAGCTTTACAAAATTGAAGGTAGTGTCTGTCTTCTACCCAATGGCTGGAACCATTGACAAGTGGTGGAGGCCCTGTGCTGTTTTTGTAATTATTATCAGCTTGTTATCAGCTTGGACATTCCTAAACGAACACAGAGCTCAAAATAGTGTTCAGCCTGAGCAGATACCAAAAGTCAGTTCCCGTCAACATGTAATGTGTTTTTTCAGTTACAAATTAAGCAAGTATCAATGTGTAACTTATGTAAATTTGTAATTTATGTAAACTTGGATCATTTACTTTTCTTACAACAGTCTACCTTCTGTTGACTATTGGGCTTTTTATATATAACTACACTAAGAGCTTTGCAAGATCTGATTCACTACTCTAACCATTAAAAAAATGATAGCTAGTATTGGATTGTTTTGAAAGCATCAAACAATAAATCACTCATGCCAATTCTCAAATGCCAAAATGACTACTTCAGTAAAGAATATACAAACATATTTTTAAAATGTATCATCAAGCTGGTAAATTCCCTTTAAAGAGATAGGGAGATTTTTCTAACAGTCCTTGGAAGATCTCTAAAGCAAAGCACACATTTACAAAATCCCATTTGTTTGGAATAAAAATAATATATGGTTTACAATCTGATACAGTAGTATGTCATTCACTTTCAATTTTGATCAACATGCCCATTCCAAATTACCCTACATTAGTTTTGAACTAATGAAGCAGCAGATTCTGCAGAAGGAAGTAAGATTTTACTGTTTTGCATCATAAATGTTTGTAGCTGTCTATAGGCAGTACAGTGACTTTCAGGCAAGAATTAGTCATAGAGAAAACAATTCCCCTTACAACACTAGAACTTTTCAAGAAAAAAAATAATTTGTTCATACATGTTCCTTCCAGAGGAGATCCTGGTCTCTTCTTCCAGGTGAGAAATGATAGAACAAATACTGAAATCCAAAGCTTCCTGTGGCTGACAGCAATATTGAAGGCTGAGCAGTTCTTCAGCTGGAAGTAGCTTCAGGATGTCAACAAGTGCAGAAGTCTCTTCACAAAGGAAATCCCATCTTCCCTTTAAACGTGCACACACACACACACACACACACACACACACACACACACACACACACACACACACACACACACACCTCTGTCCTGTGCAATTGTAGAGACTTTGGTCTTCAATGGTTGCTTGTTTTTTTTTAATCTATATCCTAGAAAAGAGTGTATAGGTCTTGTGAAAGTCAGCTGTACAGCCCTGCTTGTTTTCTTTCAAAAGCAGTCTGCGTAACTAGTGGCAGAACATCAGAATGAGGTCACACTTCCTGTCAGGCTCACATCAGTGATATTCACATTGAGGATCTGGTGAAGTTCACGACAGTCTCCTGGACCAGCCGCAGAGGATTTGCAACCCTGGAACATGGCCACATTATATACTGTGGTTGCTTAAGGGTTGATTTTCTGAGTTAACAACTAACCCCAAGATTCAGGAACTGAAGAAAAACTTTCAGCCAAGTTGTTTTTTCTTGTTTGTCATCTTCTGGTTATATTCAATTGTAAGTAGTGCATTGTTACTTAGTTTTTTTGTCCAAACTATTTAAATGCATAGAGAATAATGACATGGGTGCTACTCAATACAGAATACTGTTAGACAGTAGGAGCACAGGCTTAGGAAAATTGTTACAGTGGTAATATGTTGATGGAACAAATCTTGGCTTTTTCAAATACTCTACTGGTGGCATATTATGTTTTCATTTATATTTTTATAGCACCTAAAGAACTTGATACTGCTCATGTGTCTCTACACATGTATGCTGTTTAAGTGATAAAAGAACAATCCCTTCCATAAACTTTCAGGCAGCATTAAGGCGTGGAAAGAGTACGGATTTTGTACTCACAGAATGGGATTTAAACTGTCTACCATACTAGTGTTGTGGCTTTGGATTCTGTACTTAAGCGCTAAGTTACAATTTTCTCAAATACAACAATATATACCTCACAGGGTCCTTTGGAGAATCAAACGAGATGAAAGAAATGAGGGGAAAATTGAGTCCTCCACAAAATTACAGGAGATATATTTCATATTAGTTTCTTATAAACTCACTTTTTTGAGGCCTAGGTTGTTCAGGCTGGCAGAAAAGTTGATGTCATCTACTCCTTGGGATTCTCCCCTCCACCCACATACCAATACTGTGCAACGTGACAAGTTCTTCTGTGGAATAGGCCCCAGGCAACTGAAGCATTGAATATTCAAATCCAGATGAGATGGCTTCCAGGTTTGTATTGTTTACATAGGACTAGTCGTGATTATCTTATATGTTTTTGAGCATTTTCTATAATCTAGGCATTGCACTCAACACTATACGTTCAAGACTTGATTTAAATATCACACAGTCCACCAAGTGCATGTGATGAAATGGAAGTAAGATCAGAAAGTTTGGGATGGCTTTCTCTCATACTGCCAAAGGCCAGAGCTGGATTTCCATCCATACTTCTCCAGGGCTCTCCTGTCTTCAGATCCAGTTGTCTCTTGCTTTGAATCGTTAACCTCAGTGTCCCCATTGACCTAGGACATTTCTAGATAGCCACAGGGCTTTCTTCTTCACATTGCCTGATGGCTTGTCTTCTGCTCTCTCCTCATTCCTCTCCTGCTTCACTTCATGCTTTTCCTTAGCACTTCTCAGCATGTAGTATGGCTTACAGTTGATTGGTTGTAATGATTTGAAAGAACTAAGAATATTTTTATTTTCCTAATTTCTATAGCACCAGGAACAAAAAATAGTGCAGTTCATATAATAAATCATCAATTGACTTGGAGAATCAACAATATGTGAATTAAAGTCTAGGCAAATCCTGACTTCTGAACTTTTGTTCTGTTGATAGAAAATTAGAGTTGCTTCAAATATATTCCACAGTTTGCTCAATCCTCCCCAATCGACAGAGGATGCGTGTGTGCACAGGGAAAGAGATAAGCAGTATATGTAAGAATGAAAAGTCCTAGAAAAAAAGACTTCTACAAAATAGAGATCACTATTTATCTTTTAAATTATATTTGGCATTATAACCACACATAAGTAAAATGGTCTTATTGTTGCTTAAAATTATTTGCCTGGAGAAATATTTGCCCAGATAACATCTCCAAACATCTGTGTTCCAGAGTTGTATTTCACATACTGCAATTTGCTGTGAACTGCCCAGAATCATGTAAAAGTAAGTAGGAATGATGTAGCATTTCTTGCCAGTTCCTGCTGGACACTGCTGCTCTATAGGATGATATTTGATAGCCAGGATGCTTGAGAACACTTTGGAAAAAATGCTATAGATTTCTGAACTTGATAAATTAATTAAAAAATACTACAGAAAATAAACAATAATATCTGCTTGCTTAAACCCCTCCTGTATTTGCTATCTTTTCTTGCTACCCCAACCTCATATTTTTCTTGTACATTGTGTTTTGCTAAATGACATCAAATTCTATCTAATGGATCAAGCCAGAAAATTAGGAGAAACCAAACTACTGCCTGTGTAGCTCTCAAGTGTAGCTCTTTCTCTCCATTTTCTCTTCTGGGGCTCCCACTTCCACATTCTTCTGCCTGAATTTGGTTCCAATATTCCCTCTCTCTGATATCGTCATCAAGCCACAGCTAGGATGATCTTTTTCTATATGGATAAATGATTATGGCACTCTTCTAAATATTTCAATGGCTTGCATTGTTCCTTTCCCATTGTAAGTTCAAAATCATCCCTATAATCGATGATGCCTTGTGGGGTTCTAGCCTGCCTATTTTCCAGCCTCTTACCTACCCTACCCTATGTTTCCTCTAGAATTAGACCATACTGAATTTCTTTCAGCCTTCTTACACTGCTCAAGTTTGGCCTTTTGTCTCCATCTCTCATTCCAAATAGCTCTTTCTCTGAGCAGTTTCTCTGCTCCTCACAGACCATGTTGTAGAGGTCATGCTTCTCTACATGTTTCCTTAGAAGCATGCATCACAATTTTCCTTGCTGTCTTCTTTCCTCTACTGTGAGCTTTAGGATCATATCACCCAGTTTTTCTGTTTGCTATTCTCGATTTTATGAATAACATAGAATCTAGTACACAAAAGACACTTACTATGTGAGTATGACTTTCTGTCATCTAAGTCTGGCTGGGCTCTTTGCAAAACATTGTGCAAAATTTGATCAGGGCCAGAAGGAGATATATGGTCCAAACCCTGGAAAGGCTAATAATCTGGAAGGAATGAGAGATTAGTTATTTTGTCACATCCATCCTGCCACAGCAAAAATCAACCTCCAAATCCCAGTTGTTTATAGCAATAAACTTTTATTTTCCCATGTGATGGCTTTATCATGTCACTTTGCCTAATCTAAATTACATTTCCTAGACTTCTTTCCTTTTATTTTATTTTAGTTAGGATGGATGTTAAGAACAAAACATAGGGGCTGGGAAGGTGGCTCTGTGGTAGAGCGTTTGCCTTGTATGCCTGAGGCCCTGGGTTTGATTCCTCAGCACCACATAAGCAAAAAGAAAAAAGCCAGAAGTGGCACTGTGGCTCAAGTGGTAGAGCGTTAGCCTTGAGCTGAAGAGCTGAGGGACAGCGCCCAGACCCAGAGTTCAGGCCCCACGACCAGACCAAAAAAAAACCCAAAAAACAAACAAAAAAAAAAAAACAAAAAACATACAAGTTTTGAAAGTGGAGATGGAGAAGAAGGAGTTGTGCTGATTAGTTGAGGTTCAATGTTCATCTGACTGTTATAAGGCAGATACATTTCCACAGACCTTTTAGCTCAGTTTGTGAAATGAGTGGATGCTTCCTTTCCATCAGCTTTACAAATTCTCACCCAGAGCTGGATGTGACTATGCAGCAAGACCATGAGTTGTTGTTGTTGTTGTTTTTCAGAACACTCCTGGCACTAAAGGTAGAGACTCAGACCTAGTAAGAGCCCAATATAGCTGTCAGGGTTCCAGCTGGTTTATGAGGCTTCTAGTTTTCCTTGCTTTCCCCTACTTCATGTCCATCTTCTGAACCTAGCCAAATCTCCTGTGACTTCTGGTTAAGTGTTGCTTTTTGAAAACTTCTTATTTATATATTCATTTATTTAGGCCAGTCCTGGGGCTTGAACTCAGGGCCTGAGCGCTGGCCCTAAGCCTCTTTGTGCTCAAGGCTAGTGCTCTACCACTTGAGCCACATCACCACTTCTGGCTTTTTCTGAATAGTTTATTGGAGATAAGAGTCTCCTGGACTTTCCTGCCTAGTCTGGCTTTGAACCATGATCCTCAGATTTCAGCCTCCTGAGTATCTAGGATTACAGGCATGACCCACCAGTGCCTGCCTGGTTCAATATATCCTAAAAAGGAAAAACATACAAATAAACAAGTTTAACTCTCTCATCAGATTGCATAATCATATGAGGTTCAATTCCTGTTTTAAACAGCTGGCAAATCCTCTTTCATTCTGAGTTGTCCTGTTTCTGCTTCAGTCTGACTCAAGCATCGTGTCGTGGGATGGCTGCCCTGCTTTCTGTGTCATCATTTTAGGAGCAAAGCTGGAGGATAAACCACTCAGGATCCTGCCTCCTTGATGAAAAGGGAAGAGAACAAGAGAGTCAGAAAAAGGCCATTATGGCCTTTAAAGCTTCTTTTCAAAGATAGCATCTGAACTATCCATTCATTGGTTGTAAGCCAAAGCCAGATTCAATGTCAGTGAAGTAAGGAGGTACATTTAAGGTACATTTAGGACCCCAGGTGGGGTCCTAAAACAGATGTGTGCAGGAGGAGGGAGTAACTGGGAATGATTGTCTAATTTACTACATTCTCCATTTATGGTCACAAATATTTATATCCCCCCCACCTTTGACTTAAAAGTGTTATATATACCTCTCCCCAGGGGATATCCTGAAATCTCATTTTGTTTTGCAACTTGATCTAATAGCAAATTCTATGTCAATGTGGGATCTAGACATAGAGACCTCTAAATTATCTTGGCTTTGCCTGACATTCACTATTGCAACATGGCTATGTAACTCCCATACACTCCTTCCCATGTAAAAAAGGGCAGTAATGGTAGTCACACAGCTACAATGAATCCAGCAATACCCTGAAACTGAAACACCAAGTGCTGTATAAGCCCTATATCCTGTGAGTGGGGAATGTTCCTTAATACAACTCTGTTTCTTCTCTCATTGGTGGCAATTGAAGCAATTATTTGTGGCTCTTGGCTCTTCTGTTTGGAAAGGAAAAGTATTCCTATTTCATTGCTCTCACTGACCACCTCCAAAGACTAGAATATGTCCCTTGAATGGGAGAGAGGAAAGGAGTTGCTAAGAAATGGGGGGCTGACATAGAGGAGGTAGATCTAAGAGCGATTAAGAAAATTCTTAGTAAGAGTCTAAGTACAAGCTCATGTCACAAGAAGTAGGAACAGTATTTTATTGATCTTTATAATCAACAGCAGCAAACATGGGGCCAGAGGCAAAGTAATCAAAGAATGCTCAGAAATTATGTTGTCATGAACTCAGAGAGTGACATTGGATCTACCTGCATAAATTATAATGACTAGATAAATGGGTCTCTGAAAAATGCCAGTAAGAACCACTAGGAAACACCTGGCATTTGGCAGTTTGTGAAACATTTAAGTCTTCTATCTAATTTAATTCTCACAACCACTCTTTGAAGTAGATTTAAAATTCCCATTTACATGAAAAAAACTGAGAATCAGAGAAATAATTGGCCCCTAAACATACTAGTAATGCATTGAGTCTAATGCATGATTCCAGTCCTTTTCCAAATCTTTGGCTCTGATATACCTTACTATTTTCAGTTGTTGTTTACAAGTAGCAAAAGTAGGCTTGTGGATTTATTTCCTTCAAGTGTATAGTCAACATCCCTGTCATTTTGAGAGGAAAGAAGGAAGGAAAGAAGGAAGGAAGGAAGGAAGGAAAGAAAGAGAGAGAGAGAGAGAGAAAGAAAGAAAGAAAGAAAGAAAGAAAGAAAGAAAGAAAGAAAGAAAGAAAGAAAGAAAGAAAGAAAGAAAGAAAGAGAAAACCATATGATGCTTACCTTCATTCTCATAAAACTAGTTCCATTGAATGTTTTGCAAAACACAGAAGTAATTCAATACCTGACCACAGGGTATGTTGCTTCAGAATCTTTACTAAAGCAACCCAGTGGCTGTGGCAATGCTGGTACTGACAGCTCCTCATCCTTCTCCCTTCCCTAGAGGGAGAACACCTCTATCAGAATGTCCAGCAGTTACCTAGGAAATGTTGGCATTGCTTTATGGTCTTGGTTGAGAAGATAGTCACAGACAAATTGCAAATAGCCTTTAAAATGCTCCCATAGGCTGAGACTTATAGACTGCATCCCCAAACCATCTCACAGCATGTTGGTCTACTTGACTACACTATTAAATAATTTAAGATCAGGACTTCAGCTTATTCATTATTAACCTAGTCCTACTCTTGGCACATTTCAAATGTCCAATAAATGCTTTTGGAAAAGAAATGAAAATGCAATCACATTTTTTTTCTCAGCATTTGTATTACAACTACAAAGAGCTATCAGACAGTAATAATGATAGCATCTACATAGAGCTCTTCTGTGAACGTTTCTTACTTTTCAGAGTATAGTTTGAAGACTGCTTCCTTTATGCAGTATTCCTTGATTTGTCCAGTCAGAATGAACATATTCCTATAACATCTCTATTTCAAATTATTTTGTACATACTTTCATATTATATCAGTTTCTATATTCATCTCCTCCTTTCATAGTATGGCACTCACTTTAACTTACTTCTTGTTCCCTCACTAGACATCATCTAGGTGTTAGGTTAGCAAAATAAAATACAAGTTTTAGAGTCCTATGTGCTGAATGTATGCCTCCGGAATTCTGACATGGAAGCTCCGATTCCTTTGGGAATTAGGGCAGTATCCTAGAGAATAACATCAAGACCTTTAATTTTTTTATTTTTATTTTTTATTTATTTATTTATTTGTCAGTCGTGGGGCTTGAACTCTGGGCTTGAGTGCTGTCCCTCAGCTCTTCAGCTCAAGGCTAGCACTCTACCACTTGTGCCACAGTACCACTTCTGGTTTTCTGGTGGTTAATTGGAGATAAGAGTCTCATGGACTTTCCTGCCCAGGATGGCTTTGAACCATGATCCTCAGATCTCAGCCTCCTGAGTAGCTAGGATTACAGGCGTGAGCCACCGGCGCCCGGCACAACAAGGCCTTTAAAAGGGAGAAAAGGCATTCTGTCCATAATGTGTTAGACAGTTAGACAGTGGCTAACTGCAGATTGGGAAGCAAGTTCTCAGAAGTGTGATAAATAATCTCTCTTACTTCAGTCACCTACTTTATGGAATTTTCTTCTGTTCTAGCAGCTTAAACTAAAATATGAAGTGATTCAATGAATAACAAATGAATGCATCATGTATGAGTAGTTCAGGTTGTCTGTTGTATTTGAAGATGTTGTTGAGCTATCAATGCTCTTAAGCATAAACAATCACTATGAGATTACAAGTTTTGGTTACTGTTAGTTTGTACAGTTTCTATGTTCTGTTGCTCACCTGACCCTCCCTCTGCTGTACCAACCCCAACCGTGTGTTTCTGCTGTTCAAAGGCTAGCTCTAAAACCAGATACCCAAGGAATTAGGAATTTGAATGTCAATGTCTCAGAAGAGTCAGCTCTCATTTGGCTTGTGTTTCTAATTTTGTATTCTAGGAAGTGTATCCTTTCCTAAATGCCTGAGATTTTCAATTTGAAGATACACTCAGTATGAGGCAGTTGATTGGATACTAATTACTTTTGTTATTTCACTTTTGCTTTCTTTCTTTCAGGTAGCAGCATTGTAATTTTGCTTAAAAGAACTGCTCACATTCATCTCTCAGTTCATAGGATTTGAATTGGTCTCCAGTCTGGCTTATCTTCTGGGGCTTGAATACATATTTAAGCCGTATCATTCCAGGCATAATGAACTTCATTCAGGTCAGTGAGAGAATGACTTCTAAGACTTGTTTTTATGCTTCAGGATGCTGTAATGATGAGTAGGAGGCTGTTGGGAACCAGAGTATGAGTCAAGCCAACACTGAAAAAGCCTAGTGAAAGATGTAATTTGATCCCTGAGTCAAAGTACCCAAAAGGAAGACATCCTTTATCTTACAAATACCACGATCTAATAACTGCCCCTTATGCTTAAGCCATTAAAGTTTCAGTACTAGGCAACCAAATGAACCCTAGCCCCTGAAACTCTAAAACTTTTGTATATGCAGGAATCATTTAGGGTTGTTAAGAGGCAATATTCAGTCCTCAGGTAGAACACAGGACCCAGGAACTGACATTTTAACAGCCAGCCCCATTGAGTCCGATGCAATTCCTAAATTGGCCTTGCTTGAGAAACTCTGGTATAATTGAGCAATAAATGATGCCCATGTTAAAAAAAATCAGAAATACAGTGTCAACACAGCAACAAGTAATGAGCCCACCTTTGTTGATACTAGTATGGCAGAAGAGAATTTATCTGAGGAATCAAATGTGGATCCCCCAGTCAGTGTTTTCGTGTCTCATTTCTTGTGAGAATTTCTTCCTGCTCTGTACTGCCTGAGAGTGTATCTCTGCTTGTTGGAGACTGCATAGGGTCCACATGTTCCAGTATAATTATTAGTAGGAGTTCCTTCCCTTCTTAAAGAGCCAGAGTTGGATGATAAATATGCCCATTTCCCTGCTTTAGGGCAATCAGCACACAAAACAAAGTTCCTTGTCTTTCTTGTAGCATTTTCCAAACCAGTTATACATATATGTATAGATGTAATATATGAATAAATGCAGCATATGTTAATATATTTTACATATATTATAGTGCACACACACATATGTAGCCTTTAGTAGAAGGGAACATGTTATCTCAAAATTGTTCTGGCCATGTGTAGAAGTCTTTCAAATCTCAGAAGCCCAAGTGGCTTCAGAGTAGTATGTTAAACTTACAATAAGTAGGTACTTACAGTTATATATACACATTCTAAAGTCATCTGAACCATCAATCACCCTTAGGGTTGGCTTACTCTAAGAAAGCTTTCTACAAACCTACAGTAGGTAGCAATGACGAATGCATTGGAAATGCTTCAAATATATTATGAATATGAACATGGGTAAAGATGATGTCCATCAGTTTGTTCTTTCTCTGGAGGCTCAACTGTCAAGAATTTATTCTGGAACAATTATATCTCCAGTTGCTTAATAAATGGACATAGTATCAGAGAGACAAAACTAATGTGCTTTTGCAAGTGAAGGAAGTGACATTAATGTCATTGCCATTTATGGAACGGGAGATTTTTCTGGAATTGTCTATTGCCAGGTAGGCTTCTACAAAATTAATCTAATAAAACTATGCAAACATTGAATTGCTTTGTCTTTACTAATGCTAAGTCCAAATATTAAATAAACACAAAAATACCTTTTTGTGTTTAATGTGTGATTAAGGAACTTCAGATTCTGAGTGGTACCCTTTCCCTCTCTTAAGATACACATACAGTTGTCAAATATTCTAGAAAGTATTAAGGCTCCCTATTCACAGTTTTAATATTGGAGGAATTTAGATCAGTGATTTCTGCCTAACAACTGTTATTTCAAGATAATTGGCCGACGACTTGTTTGGTTCTGCTCAAACACAGCTGTAAGTTGTTTATTTCTATATTTGGAGGTGGAGTGACTGACGGCTGGCATCAACCATCTGGAAGAGGGTGTGTTAGGTGAAAGGCGAGAGGACATACCATACATAGGCCCATTACATAGCTGGGGAGTCATCTTTAGATTATCTCTATCTTGCATCCTCGCCACAATCATTAACTCTGTTGCCATACGGCTAAAAAAATGACGACCTACATGAAGATTGTTAGTTTTATCCATTTTTTGGCTCACAGCCTGACCAAGACAAAATGAATAGGACAAAATGCCTTCCAAATGATATAGGGTATGTGCAGATCATGGACTTTTGGGTCAGAGGGACCTAAGTTAAATCCTCGTTAATTAGCTGTATATCCTTTGACACGTTTTCTAAGTTTCCTGATGCTTGGTTTTCAGTTTTCTTTTTCTATTGCACAAAATAGAGGCCTTAATGATCATATTTTAATATATATATATGTGTGTATTACAAAAACTGTCGAAGAAACCAACAGTCATAAAAGTACCTACTATCCAGGGCTCACATGAAAAGTGGAACCATTGCTTGAATGGTTCCACAGGTAAATATGTGAAGGAATGAAGGAGTGAATCCTACAGTCAATGAGGGGCCAGTATGCAAGGACCCAAAGTCCAAGTGTGAATGTGCTGAAGGAGTCTGCATTGTTCTGGAGTGTAGGAAAGACTGCTGACTTAGAGTTTTATTGATTTTTAATATCCCTTCTTAGAGCATATATGGTGTAGCACACTTTCTACTTTCCTAAAGTCAAATTCATCAATAATAAACTACACCCATCTATTTAAGACATTGTCATGACATGACATACAAAGCATACATGTTATAGAAACAATGCATCATAGAATATTTTCAGTATATAACGTTCAGTTATAGCTCACAAAGAAATATAATAAAGTGGCCAAGTGTTTGCGCTGAAATTTATATTTACTCTGTATGTAACATCTCCAATACAGACTGGTGCATCCTAGCTGTACCTCAAATACTTGGGGGTAGCTTAGCTGTTGAAGATCTGGTATTTTAAAACTGAATAACATATTGCTAATGTTCAGGAAAAAATGAATGATCTTCGTTTGTGTTACATAGTTGCTTCATTCTTGAAATATTGGATTTACATTAAAATCTTTCAAAATATTTACATGTAAAATTTAAGTTTTATGTACAATTATAGACAGGTTTTTCAAATGTATGAGTGTCATCGAGAAGCTGTATGTGACCTATAGAAATGCTTCAGTGTATAGAGTTCACTGTGTATTTTGTTATATCTAGCAGCACTTGTGTCCCTCCTTCCTAAATAGTAGGAGTGTCCTTCTGCAATCAGATGTCAATGAAAAATACCCCCTCTCCTATTTCCAATGTGCACTCTACGTGATGATATGAATTCAAAAGGGACACCCTGAACAATCCATTCCAATCACTCCTTTGCACACGAACACATTTCTATTTTTGTTCTTTAAACTTACTGTGATGGAATTGCTTCTATAAAGTCCCAATTAAAACAGAAGAGTCATCTGTTGGGATAAATTGGTAAATCCTCAACAAATAGTGGAAAGTGAGTACAACTGGGTTATCTTTTATGTTTTAAAGTACAAAATTACCCTTGTGTTTCATTTAAGTTATTAAAACTTCAGTAGTATATAATATTTTCATTAGTAAGCAGGGGGCTCTATCAGGCATGGATATGATTAAGACCTAGGTTAAAAGTCAGAAACTTGATTCTTGGTACTGATACTGATGCTGAAAAATATTTGTTTTAATTTGAATATCCTTAGCTATATTAGATAAAATGTCCTAGATAATTAATATTTAATTATATTAATCAGCATTGTTTTCAGCCAGTTTGTTTCAAGGGAAATTCAAAATATGAGTTTCTGATGTTTTTATCTTATTCAGTGGTATGTTGACTGTCTCTAATAAATATTCCTGAATGTGTGGATTAATCAGTTTGGGCAATATAATATTGTGTAACAATAACTCTCAGTAAATATCTTTATACAATAAATATTTTTCTTATATATTGGTTATATATTATTAATCATTACTGGTCTCACCATTATTTATCTGGAACCTGGGTTGCTAGAGCACCTATTATATCACTGCTATTTACAACGCTAGGCACACAGCTTGGTGAACTACCTTCTTACATTCCCAGATAACTTTGATGAAGTTCTCTTCTATTTTTGTTTTGTAGCAACTCAGATAGTCACCCACAACAGTAAGGAGGGTGAAAAATATTATCCTGCTGTGCCCAAAGATAGATTTTAGAAGTATCTGGGACACTGAATTAATGACAATTATAGAAGAAATTTTCTTAAATATCAAAAGGATTGAATATGTTGAACAACCAAAAAGAAAAAAAAAAAGAAGACAAACATCTCTCCCCTACTGACTGTCTTATTTGTAGCCTTTTATGTACCGCCATGTGCAGTGTAGCTCAAGCAGCTATTAGTAACACAGTAGGTGCTGAATGAGTGTCTTTTGAATAAAAGGATGAATATGAATGTGGTAGCTTAATTTACCCAATATTCCTCTATTGAAGCTTAAAGAGAGTTACTTTGCTATTTTAACTACACACTATGAAGAAAGACAAAAGTATCGTGTGTATGCAACGATACACTTTGAAAACTTGGAACCAGAGAAGTACAGTGGAAACAGGCCAAAAAAAAAAAATAGATGTTTCTTTTCCATATTACTTTGTGATCACTGGTAGGTTCTCCCTGTAGGGCTGAGACATTGTCCTAGATACTTAGCACAGTCTTTGGATACTGTTGGGACTCAGTCTACGTGCTCTCATTAGCTGTGTAGTCTGGGCAGTAATTCCACCAAGGTAGCCATAGGTTCCACAGTTTTACCCTCTCCCCCATCTTGGTTTTATATATATATTTGTATTGTAAAGGTCTAGATGGTGCAACAGAACAATTGTGTTGTAGTTGACAATGAAAGGAATCCTTCACATCCATTCCAGGACGCCAAGGCAGGCAGGCACAGGAGAAAGATTATTAGAAGGTTTATTAGAGGAGCCATATTTCTCCCAAGAGGGAGCATATGGCACCCTTCACTATCTAGGTAGCAGGAGGTCTGGGGGGCAGGAAGTGAGGTAGGTGGGTACTCAGGTGGGTCTGGGGGGAGAGAGGGAGTGGTGGGAACTCCAGGATGGGAGGAGCTCAGGTCTGGGTAGAGCTGAGAACCAAAGGTGGGCATAATGCTTACAGACCTATGATATATTTACAACATAGTGTCTGCAATAGACTGTTTGACAGACATTTTAGCAACTCTTCTGTTCTCAATGTGTTAGGAAAAGGATATCTAAGAAAGTGTGTAGTAGTGCAGTTATAAAAACCCTGTGATGCGGCTGGGGATGTGGCTCATGTGGTGGTAGCACACCTGCCAAGCAAAACTCGAAAAGCCTTGAGTTGAAATCCCAGTCCCAGGAGGAAAAAAAAAAAGAAAAAGAAAAAGACAACAAAGCAGAAGCTTGCACCATGCCCTGAATAGAGGAGTTTGGGGAACCTGGACTTCATAAAATCAACAATCATAACCAATGGTCTTGGAGTCCCGACTTGCAAAAGTCCAACACTACAATTGCCAACAAGAGACCCAGACACCTCCCACGCAGCTGTCTTTCAACGTGGACCAGGCTCCGCCTTCCAGCGCTGCCCTCCAATCAGTTGCGCGGCCCGAGCCCAACCCTCACAGGTCACGTGACACGGAGAGTCCCGCTTCCGGTGCGTCGCGGGTGGCTGACGTCGCCAGGCCGGTCGTCGCGTCAGGGCTGTCCGGCGGCAGCCGCTGCGGAGGCTGAGGCGATGGCAGCAGAACCCAAGCGGGCTTGAGGGCTCGGACCCAGCTCCCTCCCGCGCAATTCCGGGCCAACGGGGGAACCGAGGCCCCGCTCCCTCCGCTCCTGCTCCCTCCGCGGCCGCTGCCTGGGTGCGGGCGGAGGCAGAGGCCCGGGCTGGCAGCCCCACTCGAGCCCCGGCTCGGCCCCGGACGGCCCGGCTGCTGTGTGGAGAGGAGGCCGAGTCGGTAAGAGGCGGCGGCGGGGCCTGGAGGCCGAAGGGGCTCCGCTTGGCCGCCCGGGCGCCCCCCCGCGCTGGTGTCACTCCCGGGCCCGCTCCCCGCCCGCCCCCCTCCCCGCAACTCGCCGGCCCCATTGTCTCGGCGCCGCCGCCGGCCCTTCCCCTCCCTTCCTCCCCCCTGCCGGGGCCGGGTGGCTGTCAAACCTGGACTCCGCGGGCTGCCAGCCAGCCCCTTCCCAGCCTCCCCTGCTGGTCTCCTGCCACCCCGAGGCCAGGTCCTGCCTCACCCCCACTGTCTGTAGTCTCGCCGTCCTCCTCTGACCCTTGCTTTAACTGCTTTTCGCTCCTCTGTGAGAAATTACTAAGTTTCTCTTCCCTCCTAGTTGTCATCTCCCACAACGAACACCCTCTTGGACATTTATTAATTTTTTTTTTTTTTTTTTTTTGCCATTCTTTCAGCTTCCTTTCTTGCCCTTTTTTCCCCCTTCTCAGCCGCCTCTTTTTGGTTCATGTGTTACCCTCCTTCCCCCACCCCACCAACAGATTGTTTTATTTTGCAAGTTTTTAATTCAAACCTTTCATCTCTCTCCCTTCTCTCCCCAGGCAGAAAGGCAGTCTTGCTCTTTCTTGTACTTCTTCCCTTAATGTCACTGGGGGATTATCATGTCTTTTGTAGACTTAAGTTTGATCCTAGCAAATGCTAGTGTAGGTAGTGAACTACCTCTTACCGACCTTTTCCTGGGAGCAGCAAGAAGTCTGGCTTGATTTCTACACATATAAGTAACCTTATGTGTTATACACAGATAAAATTCCTATTAAAATAGCCATGTTTTTCCCTGTACACAAAATACCTCCCAGCCCAAATTCCTGTTAACTTTTAAACAATATTTGCTGATGCTCTAGAAGGAAAAGCTCTTTACTATCCTTCAAACCATGAGTTTTGAGATTGATTTTACATACTTTTATAGTGAGTGTTGATGCTGTTTTGTGGGGTTTTTTTCCCTTACCTATCAGATTCACTCCCAAGACAGAAAAGGGTAGATATATTTTTTGTTTGCTATTATGTTTTGTCTATTACATGTTGTGGTCACACCATTATAAGAGACTACACAGATATGTGTATGTGTGTGTATGTGTTAAACTGGAGGGAGCATAGTGAATAGTAATTTCAAATATCAAAACGTTTTAGGAATCTCTCCGACAATAATAATAGGTTTCTATTTCTCATTGCTGATTATAGTTTGATTAGACTATGCCAACTGTATTTTGATTAGGCTATGTGTTCATCACAAAATGTTGTATTCTTTACATACTGTAGTGAAAACAGCGCACCTCAACTGTGGAAGGTGGCTAGTGTGCCCCATAGTGTAGTAAACCATTTACATGTGAATGACCTAGAGAGAAACAGGTGCTCTTTTTCAGGTTTTAACATGAAAAACACTTATGTTGTTAGTATAAGTATGGTAGTAAAACATTGAACAATACATTCTCAGTGAAGACATTACTGCATATTAAATATGAAAAATCAGTTGCTATCCAGGAGGGGGCAGCAGGTAATGAGACATCCTGATCACAAGAAAAACTATGAGAGGCTGCCTGGCACATGCTCTCTCCTATTTTTTCCATCTTTCTGTATTCCAGGTATATTATTTTGGGTTTTGTAGTGTGAAGCACTAAAATAGTAATTGAACATGAAAATTATGTTTATCCTCTTAAGAATTATAACAATCATTACAGAACAATTCTCTTAACTTTAAAAGATAGAAAATCTTTTAAATATATTAAATACATTTAAGTATATTTAAATATTTAAAATCTATTAGCAAATTTTAATGTCTCATCTTTTTTTCTTTTTAGTTATTACTTCCATATCCCTTTTTCTTAATTCTTTACTGAGAATTCCTGCAGGTTGCACATTATTTTTCCTAGAAACATTGGTTGTTAACTTTTTTAATCAGCTATTCTAAGTTATCATTTATTGTTTAAAAATGATTTAGTTTTAATTTTGCCTGTTCCACCACACTATATCTCCTATGCATTTTATTTATTCGAATCTAACTTTTTTTTTCTTCTTGAGGTAGTGAAAAGAGAATACTGAAGAATAGGCTCTCAAGATGAGTAAAAAACCCCCAAATCGTCCTGGAATCACTTTTGAGATTGGTGCTCGTTTGGAGGCACTGGACTACTTACAAAAATGGTATGGAAAATAGAGAATTTTGACTAATTTGTAGTATCTATAACTTTACATATGTCAGTTAATTACTATTGATCCTGTTGCTAGTAGAGGAGACATTACTATATTGCATTTTGAATATAACTTCATTGGATTTAGATTTTATTCTTTTCTAAAACTGTAGTCAGGTTTATTAAGTATGATCATAATCAGTTTAGATGTTTGAGTCCTGAACATAATGTTCTAGAATATGTGGAATAGAGAGTATTAGTGCTTTTGTATGCCTAACATAAACTATTTGGGGGAGGTGACAAAAGAAGGAATTCAGATAATCATCTTCCTAACTTTTGGATACATTTTGATAGGCCTGTTTTCTTTCCCTTGCCAGAGGATGATTTTCAAACCACAAAGTAATACTATTGATTATTATAGTATTTTTCCATAGTTTAGATCTAGTACTCTCTTTCAAAATGGCACCCAACTTCCTTCTTCCCTAAAAAGCACAGCACTGTAGTAGGATGACTGTTCCAGTAAATGGCAAACAATCCTCTCACAACTCTACTTCTTTCCTTGTTTGGCCATTTGTGGTAAGCTGTCAGTGCAAATACCTCCAACCTTCCCCTTAAAAGTTGTGTAGGAAAAGGTGCCAACCATATGTAAAGGAGAGAAGGGAAGCAGCTTGCAGGGGTCACTGGCCCCCAGTAGGTATAGAAGATTCCCTTTTTCCTAGAGAAGTAGTACCTCATTTAGACTGGCTAACACTACTTGTACTTTCTTGGCAGATGTCCTTTTGTTTCATTCTCAGATCCTTAGCCTCAGAAGGGCTCCTCTTGGAGCAGTGCTACCTGTGCTTCTGCTGAGACCTGTTGAAACTTGGAGCAAGTATCTAGTTGTTTAGCAACTTCAGGACTTTATTTACCAGACATTTTGACATTTTCTGTCATTGCAGCTCCATTAAAACCATAGTGCATTTTTGATTGATTTATATATAGTAAGTCAACTTTCTAAGTTTGCAATGATAGAAATCTTGTTTAATCATGACATTTGACTTTAGACTTTAGAATTCCAGTCTTTTAACATCTCATCTAGAGCTCAGTACACTCTCTGACACCATAGTCTCAGATTCTGCTTTAGTGTATTTGGAAGCTACGGTTTGAAATGGAGGGGCACATTATTCTGCCCCTTTCTTCCAGCTTTATCTTAGTGGGGAGTTCTTTAAAAGAAGGTGGAGAGTGTGCATAGTGTTTCTGAGAAGAAACTTGCCAAGCATGTGGGAACCAGGTAGCAATTCCATCCTAGTAATAATAATAATGTCTCTATATTATTGCCAAATATCAGTGGGGGAAGGAAAGATAGTGGTGGGAAAATGCTTCTAAGAAACACTGCATTAGATCATACAACAGAAGATGAAGGCTTATGCAGTAAGCCTTGTTCTGATTTGGCCAATACGAGTCTATCATTGTGAAGATGCACTACTACATCTATGTGTGATGTAAGAGAACAGAAATAATACTTCTGTTTTGATGTTAATATTTTTTAAGTTCTTGATTCTGTGAATAACTAGTTAATTCTTTTCCATATATTCTTTTTGGCTTTTCAGCAGACAAAGCTGCAGTTGAACTAGCTTCCAGTTTTGGAGAAGCACATAGTTCATTAGTTCTTTAAGTAGTGTTTACAGATAGTACCATAATTTTCATATTGGTGATAAACTTTTGGTAGTGAAATGTTTTTTAATTCAATGACTGTTAAATTTATGATATGGTAGTTAAAAGAAAAAGATTATAAAAGGAGGTACTCGTAGGACTAAATATACTATAGTGTTTTGTGCTTTTAGAGTATTTGGAATTTCAAAGAAGAAGCCAAGTTGTAGGTTCTCATCAGGAAGCACTTACTGCTTATTAGATATGTTAATACTATGTGCAAGTATTCTCTTTGTTGAAGGTTAGGTTCAATCTGCATTACTCCAGTAATGGTCTTGAAGTAACGGGCAGAAAACTAGTATAAATATTATTGTGGTTGAAACGACATCATTGATTTGATATTTTTATCAGATCCTTTATATAAAGACTTTTGCAATTTTGCTTTAGATGGCTTTAAAGCTATGTGCATATTCATAATCTGTAATAAATTCAAATATCTATTATTTTTTGTTTTTTAAATATCAGTAGTATATCAAGAACTAGTTAGCATCAGATTAGTTTTAAATTTAGTATTAAATGGTTAAACACGGAACAACTGCTAAATTGCTTAAATTAATTTATATGTGGCATAAAAGTTCTGTGAGACCATATTGAGACAGTATTCTTAATAGGTTTTAGAGCTAAATGAGATAATAAACTATATTGTATCATATTTATATATCATACAAGGATATTACATTTGTTAAAGTTCTTTCTAGTTTTCATATAATTTTTTAAAATATTTTTCTTTAATATCAGGTATAAGGTTATTTGATTATTGAGAAACAAACTTCTGACATTCTCACGCGTAACAATAGATAATAGTTTAAATATATTGAAACATTTCTCTCCCTCCTTTGCTCTTTCCTCTTTTCTTGCATATTGCTTTTGCATCCTTATTAAATATTTCATCTTCCAAATTCTTTTAAGATTTGAGAATTATTGAGTCATTGGATATAAATGTAGTTTGAACTGTAACAGATACTGGATAGATACAGTTGGACAGGATTCCAAATCTTGCTTACTTTCTTTGTTCCCAAGACATTTACACTAAGCTGTACCTCTGTTATTAAGGAATTAACTTATCACATGTTGATAAATTTCATTTTAAAGAGCATTGTTTCATGCCGATAATCCCAACTTCTCTGTAGGTCCAGGCCAGAGGACCATAAATTCTGGGTCCCAGCCTATGCCATTTAGTGAGAATCGGCCTCAAAATAAAAGTGGGTTGATAGCATAGTTCATAGAGCATAGAGCCTAGCATGTACACAACCCTGGGTTCAGTCCCCATCATGACACAGCAAAACAGTCATAAAAAAATCAGGTGTAAGTGATAATAGCAGAAACTCAAAATGCCAGTAAGCTGATTCTGTTTTGTGTATGTAAGTCTTTTTATGTATAAAAAGGAAGATACATTTTGGTGGGAATCCTAGAATACAATGATAAATTCAGTGTAGTAGTCAGAGATAAAATGAAGTTAAACTCCTGCTTTCAGGTACATATGATTTAGTAGGAACATTTAATCTTTTTTTCTAGAAAAAGTATATTATTACTGCTTAAGTAAGCCATATCATTTACTCCTTATAAAGTTTACAAAATTATCTTAGAAAATATACTGTATTCTTAAGTCTTGACTTATTAGACTTTATTTCCAAAGTGAGCCTACGTCTACATAAGAAAACTCATTGATAATTTGAGTATTTACTAATACCAGTGAGTGTAAGTCCTGAGAAGCAGTTGAGAGGTCACTTACCTTAATTTTACTATTTACTTTTTGTATTTACTTGAGTAAACCCAATTCCCCTGAGAAGCATGGGCTGTTTTAAATTTCAGATGTTCTGTAGTCAGATGTTCTGTAGCTCTTTAATAGTCTGCTTAAGGATAGACTAATGCTAGTTCCCTTAATACAGTTAGTCATTCTCTGTCTCATTTCCATCATATTTCTACCATAACCACTGTCCATTCCTACCTTGACATGCAGTTTTATAGTCTCTAGAAGATAGTGACATTGTATGGATGAAAATGATACAGGTGTTTTAATTCAGGAATACTTTTGGGAAAAGAGAAGGTTTAGAGTTGGAATTATACTTGACACACTGTAAGTGGTTGGGTTTAAATCTAGATAGTTGCTAATTATGTAAGTATGGGTAAGTCTTAGTTCACTTATCCCTAAAATGGAAGCAGTATTACTGGTTTTTTTTTTTTTTTACAGGTTGATTTTTAGGAATCAGTTGAGCATGTATGTTTAAACTTGCTTTGAATTAAACAAATTTAAATATAATTATAAACCATTAACAAATGCAAGGAAAGAGGGAGAGTTGAAGTATCTCTGGGGAGCTGAAGACTTAATCATTAATTTTTAAATGGAGCATTAGTATTGACATGAGAGTGATTTAGAATCGGAAGGAAAAAAATCTGTCATTACAACAAGCTATAGACAATATTTTTTGAGATAGTCAGTTCTTGTATTTTCATAGTCTTATGGCTCACAGAGCACTCTTCAACTATTAACATGTTTGATCAATATGAATATTGTTCGGTAATAAATGATAAAACTGGTATTGACTATTGATTTAACTTATGTTTTCTGATTAGAATTACAGTAGTTACTTTATAGTAAGCAATTTAGTTATTAAAACAAAACAGACAAGTAATATGCTGATGTTAGTCTTAAAAGGAATTTGAAACATAGAGTCAATTTAAAACATTCAGATGAGTTATGCTCTTCTGACTCCTTTTGGAATATTTCTATTTAATTCTCTTCTAGATCTAAAGAAAAGGAAAAGGAAAGATTTAAAAAATGTGGAGATGTCTCAAAGTATCAGAGTTTGATAGAACAGGATAAATTTGAATTGGCAAATGCTGTTTCCACACATTTGGAGGTTTATGAACTGTATGGAACATTTGCAAATGTGAGTTTCTTAAGATGGTCATGAACAGAATTTTAATAGAGTTTGAAATTGAGGGAATTAAGATTGTAGCAAGTACAAATGCCTTTTAATTTAAAAGAAATACATATGTTCTGAATTAAACATTACTTTTTCTGATTGAACTTAGTTACTCAAAAGAAAACATTAGAAGAGATAAGTTGTACAATTTACATTTAGGGTAGGTGAGTGCTCCCATAAAGTAGTATCTGGATTGCATTTTAGAAATGATTCCATATTTATATTACTTTGATGAACTTAAAATTTATAAAAATATTAGTTGAATACTTTTCAAATGGAGATTATTTTTTGTTATATAAAGAAAATTTTTATCCTTTTACATATAAGGTTGTCCAATGTATATATTATTTTTATGACTCAACTACTTTAGAAAAGTTAATTTTAACTGTAGATTCAG